GGTTGGGCACTGTTAGTTTTTCCAGCCACAGCCATAGGAAACTTAAAAAACAAACAAACAACAACAACCCCAACACAAAGTTTTAGTCCTATATATTGCTTTTCATTGGGGACAGAAAAGGGGGAAGAGCAGATCTACTCCCTATGGAAGGAAAATACAGACTGTGTGAATATGCTATGTTCTATACATAAACAAAATGGGATTATGGACAGAGGAGTAAACCACTGCTTGGGCAATGAAAACCTGTGTATAAGTACGCAATGCAGCTCTGAAGAGATCAGGCAGCCATGGACAAGCTGGGCCATGGAGAAATCCCAATGTCTGCCTTTGTCTGAATATCAGCAGAGTGAAATAAGAGGTCAAAATGTGCTTTCAAAGGACTGCTTTTACATGTCTTCAAACAGTTAAAAGGAAGTAAAACTTTTTTTTTTTTTTTTTTTTTTAAGTGAGGTCAACTTTTTCAGTGTTAACTTGATACAATTCTTGGAATTTTAAAAGGAAGAGTTTTAAAAGGCTATCTGTGGCAGCACGGACTTCTAGTTGAGAACACAACAAATTTGAGGTAGAACACTTTGGTGTTAACATAAATAACTCCCAAAAGTTGTTACTACAAACCTAGAAAATTGACATTTAAAAAAGATACCAAAAGGTAACATGGTAGAAATAAAACATCTTAATAGTTTGAACACCTAACAACCTTAGCACTGCTCTGAAGCGTCACCATGAGAGAGAATATCTATCAGCTTCCCCATATGTTTTCTCTTTATGGTCCCAAATTAAATGAAAGCAATGATGCTGTCGTTAGTATCATTGTCATCTTGGGGAAAAAAATTCCCACTAGGATAGCTCAGGACTTCCAAGAAATTACACTTAATTCTAAAATCCTGGCTGGATGTCCTCTCTCACAGAGAGACTTTAGCAACCCCAAAATACTTTCTGAAAAGTTGGTACAAGCCAAAGGCCTCTGCAGTTTTCCCACTCATTCCACACTAGTGATGGCCCTGCTGGAACCTCCTGCCTTTCAGCACTGCCATGGCTCAGCAGAAGTGAAAGGCAGACTTCTGGAGTGCAGACTGAGAAAAACTAGAGAAAGGCAAAGCAGCTCCTGTCAGCTATCATCCTTGTTTCTCCTTCATGCTGGTACACTTCAGTTTAATGAGTCTCACTGCTGTGTCCTCCATTAGGGTGAGTCTCAGAAGCTGTTAACCTCAGTTAAAGCTGAAACAGTAGTAGGAAATGCTGCCCAAGCTCAGGACAGAGCTTCGTTTTGGTGGAACTTCTTTTATTTAGGGACAGAAGGAGCATTTAGTGTAGATGGTAATTAACCATTAGCAAGCCAGCAAACCACTTGGTACACTGATCTTAAGACAAAAATTTTAAAAGAAAAGAGTTCCTCCAGCTGAATACTGTAAGAAGGGTAAAGGACTACATGAAATATCGAGCAAAGGTATTTTTAGTGTGCGATTTATGCCACAAACAGTAAAACTAGGCTTCACCTGTACTCTCTGCAAGTACCCACAGAACCATTAACACTTCATGCAGTAGAAACAACCCCCCAGTGACAAACTGCTCAAGTGAAAAGTGTCCCTTGGTAGAGAAGAGCCTGCAGAACACAATTCACTCTGGAGTTGGTCAGACCCTTCTAATGAGATTTGGAAATCCATGCTCTCTCTACCCTGCTGAATCCATGGCTGTTGCCACCAGCAGAGCTGCACCAATGTGGAATTTTCATCCCTTTTTGCTCTTCCCAGATATCAAGCACATTCAGCACAACCTGGGATAGACTCAGCTATTCAGATTTCAGGGCTTCCTCCCATTTGCTCCAGCAGGACTTTGGTCAAAACTATTTAAGACTATCCAAGTACTGCAATAGAAAATTAGCCACACAAAATTCTGGCCACTTTTAATCATGAATTCAATTAATGTTACCTTCCTAATGGGAATATTAACCTCCTCCTCCTCCTAAAAATGCAGACAGTTTTACTGCTTTCTCTCAGTGATCTTTGTTCCTTCATGCACTTCCCCTAGCATGAAAGTTATCACCAGAAGCAGTTACTGTTAGCTGCAGGCATCTATGGGGATGCTGAGTTTTACCAGGCTCCAGAGGAGGCCCAGCAGTAGGGCTATGAATTTACACCTCAGCCCAGGTCAATCTGAAAGTGCAAGACTGTACGACTAACAAACCAAAAGTGAAGTCAACAGTGGGCACTTGATCACTCTACAAAAACATTAAATAGCTCTACTTCTTTTTGCTTCTAAGAAGCAAGCACGTAATCTCTTCAGAGCCCTGGGAAAAGAAATTTACAGTGATTATATCCTGCAGCACCTCAGGATCCATTGGTACTACCTAGCTTTCTGTCTCTAACACCTAAGAACCTTCTACCAAGTAGAGAAAATTAACAGAGACCAGTATATGAAGCTCAACAAAATAACTCATGTATAGGCTAGTGGCTTTTGTTCCTCCCGAACACACAGACAGCCAGCAATCCTAATATATATAAGTATGCATATGTATATAAAATATTTATTTTTGAAGAGGTCTTGTAAAATCAAGAGAGCAGTTCATTACTTAAGAATCTATTGACCCAAGTCAGTTCTGTTTTGAGCAGGCTAATCTCCAGAGGTCCCTTTCAAGTTCTATTATTCAATGTAGATCAACATGCAAATGTCTCCATTATAAGGAGAATATAGGAAGATACACAAAACAATGTGTATGGCCTTTTTGTCACTGTGTTTGGAGGAAGGAGACCGAGAGGAAGGCAAAGGACAAAGAGATGAAGAAGTTTTGCACTAACCTTTTCACAGGGGCTGAGGGATAGGATGAATTTGAGCTGTGCCAGAAACCTGAGAACTGAGATAGTCACATGTAAGAATGGAGAGACTATATATACCAAAATCAGCCTGGAAACTCCACACGAGGAACAGCACTCCCACAATTTGTTTAGGCACTACCAGTCGGCAGACGCTTCCTATCCTGCACCTCAGTCTGGGCAAAGTGATACAAATACACGGGAGTGTTTCCTGGATTTTCTTTCTTAGTGTCTTTCAGTTTCTGGTCAGATTTTTTTTTTTTTTTTTAAGTAATATATCCATAAACCAAGTAACAGAACTTCCTCAGAAGCAACCAGGAGCAACAGCTGGTGGTTTGTGTCCAAGAAAGCAACAATTTTGTCTGTTCGCCACGATTTGTGGTATTTGGTCATTGAGTCCCCAGAAACAAAATGACAGAGGAAGAGGTTTACACACATCCCTACCGTTCAAAGCCAAAGGAGTTTTGTACACAAAAACAGCAATGCTTTATGCTAGACAAAGAATTATTCTAGTGCCAGTGGCCAGGTTAGGAGAACATGCTCTCAGCATCAGGAGCATCTCGACTGACTAAAGAGGGAAAGGGCAAGAGGATGTAACCACTGCCACGCCATCCGCTATGCTTTGTACTCCTTCCTTCCTTCCACTGCCCTGGGTAAACTTAAAACAGCAAGTGCTGTGATGTACAAATTGTTCTCAGAGGGAACATGAAAATGGACTCAGGTGTGGCAGTCAAACAACAAAAACAATAGCCAGATCTACAAGAAGAGAGAGGAGTCAGACCAAGCTCCCCTTCCCGTGCCATACCCACCTACCCAGAGGGTGAGTAGATCTGCTTTGCAAAGCACTCCATCTGTGAGTGATGGCAAAGAGCATCATCTGAAAAACAAAAAGAGCGCTGTCTACAGCGTCCTGCAAGTACGATTTCTGTGGGTAATCTCTGACACGTAACGTCTTTGCACAGGATATGGAGGGCATCTCTATTTGAAAGCTGGTAATGTACAAAAGCAATGAGTTTTGAGGACTGGTATCTTCACATGTACTGCCAGTCAAACTCCAAGTAATACTGCTATTAGAAACATTTTTCAAGAGTAAAACCAGTAAGATCAGTAAGGTTGGTATAGCCAGCACATGGCCTCCGAGACATACTTCCCTGGAAGAGCTGCAAACACTCCCTTAACTCCCCTACTCTTTTCACAATTTCAACCTCCTTGCTTTTCAAGGCTGTAAAAAATGGCCCAGATCACACTCATCTCAGATGTGATGATGGCAAATGCATTTTTTAATGAGAACATTCTGTTCTTTGGCGCTGCGACCATGAGCAGTGCCCATATAAGTCCAGACATCAAACTGATGTTGGTGGTACTAGAAATAACAGTTAATTATACAATTTTTGCTTTCCAAGACTGTTTTCCCCCAGTTTCACTGTCATCCAGACCACATAAAGAAGTGATAAAATCAAAGCAGAAAAATCTCACAGATTTCTGAAGTTCATTCTTCAATTCAAGATACATTTCCCTTTGCCTAACTGTCCCCCACACAGCTGCTTCTTTTTGGAGTGACAACTCCAGTCTCAGCATAGGACTAAGGGTTTCTCTTATTCAGTAGTAAACTGCTGTAATGGCTGGAATACTTAAATAAAAATTAGATTTGCTAAACCTCGCAGGCATGTCTGTTAGAACAGCTGCTATCAATGTACAAACTTAAATGGAGCAAGAGTTGGTGCAACCAGCTTTCATCAGCTACACTGGTCTTGTATCTACCTGTATTTTGTGCCCGTAATGACTGACAATTGAAATTCTCAGGCATCTGGGCCAACGAACCAGTTAACTCCCACACAAACTTCATCTTGTAAAAAAATGCCTTCTTGACAACAGCTGCCTCCAAAATTCAATGCCTGAAAGCAGGATTGGTCCAAATGTGGGACAGGCCACAGTATGCAATGTTGTCCCAGTCCGGTGACTCACCACATGTACAAGGACACTTCAGAGCACTCAAGAGGCTGCAGAAGTGACCTACATATGCAGATATTTGAAGTACTGCGTTGTTTTTCAGATGTCTTCTCTTACCGCTTCAGTCAACAAACCAAAGCCAGCTGCACTCCTGGTTCAATACTGTTATTTGGGTCCTGCTTTCTCGAGTCCCTGGGCCAGCAGAGGGAGCGCAAGCACACACTCATGATTCCTGCACTAGGAGCTGCAGCAGCTCACTCCATGTTTCTCATAACGCAGCAGAGCTGACACTACCAATGACAGTCACCACAGACAACTTTTTAAGTGAAACTCAGATCGGGAAAAAAAGCACCTCTTTCAATGTCTGTCGAATAGGAGAGGACAAAAACCCCAAACAGAATAAATTACTTTGGGGATTACGCAAAGCATTTTTCAAATATCTGAACATAAAGTAAGGAGAAAAAAAAAAAAAAGAGGAATGAGATCTGCCAGCATTTGTAAGGGTGGATAAACACGCTTTTTCTTTATCATTTGTCCTCATTCCAGAAAATAGCCATCCTCTATACACATCCTTGTTTTAGTTCCTGTCATTGAAACTGACTCGGAAGGGGTTCTCAACACAGCAAATGCTGAACGAGCATAAGCAAAATCTCTGTGGAAGTGTCTGTGTTGTTCCAGTTTGTTTTTCTGTCACACAAAACAAGGAGTATTTTATGGCCTCTTTCCGGAACACAAAGCCCCAGAAGGATAGACAGAAGAGAACTGGACTCACCTCATCCAGTTTGCTTTGGTTTCATCTGTCCCATCGATGGATTTGTAGCGGTTGTTCTTATCAACTATCTGCAGAACAGAATAGATGCAGCATGTAAACTGGCTGGTTCTGACAGGAGAAAAGTCTTCAAATTTCAGATCTGCTTCGCTTCCAGCCTCAATTCAGATCATGAAACAATGCCATGAATCTAAACTTGCCCAGTCCTGTAGACTGCTGCACTGGATATTTGCATGGAAGCTACTCTGAACTAAGAGATTTCTTCCCATTACAAATATCTGTAACACGGCACTATGGATGCAGCTGACAAAATGGTAAGTTCCCAGATACAAAAGATTAACCTCTCCTACAGGGCAGAGCTGACATATGCATTTATTTTACAGACAGAAGAGTGTGAGCAGCATCTCATACTAGAAGCTCTCATTTTTTTCCCCACCTAGAATTCAAGTCCCACATCTTATTTCCAACAATAATTAGTACTTGTTGATGTCTCTGTCCCTAGAGATATCTGTGATATCTCAACCTCACAGGCTAACTGAAGTCTGTAGTACTAGTATCATCAAAAAGACAATATTTGGTGCATTTAGATCAGTTCCTGACGGATTGGGAGAGCTGCATCTATTTTTTCCTGGCCCCTTGGGCCTTGCTCAAGCTGAATGGGAGGGATGCTGGAGGCTCGAGGGAGTGCTCTGCAATCTCTAGATACAGTCCTTCTTCTCAAAGTGATGATCAGAGTGGAGGTTGTACTGGATGAAGCTTTGAGACTGAGTGGGGATGGAAGAACATGGCAAGAGGGAAAGAAGCAAGCTCTGCTTTCTATAGCTGGTGTCATGACATCTGACTTCCTTTTGCTTATCTGTATGCTGAAGTCAATAATCATTACGGCAGGTTGATCTTTGCCTATTACTCACATGGGTCAGCATAAGAACTTCAGGGAAGGAGGAAGAGATTGCTAAGCTCAGGCTGCATGAGCCACTAAGCGCCAGTTCTGGGCTGGAAAGTCATTTCTATAGGGAGACAGCTCACTCACCAGCCACGAGAAGAATCCTGCGGACTTGTCCTGGCTAGAGATCTGCCCCTCGTACGGCCCGAAGATATGACCTTTGGGGATCACCTCATTCATGCAGCGCACGTCGTTCTCCCCACTGGGCTCTTTCACCACCTCTATGCCAGGCGGGATGGTCAGTGCTGCCCGGTCAGGGATGCCAACAGGCACTGGCGTGTCAGAGACGAACACAGGGGGGCCGTGGTTGGGGCACTCATCCACAAAGTACTCCTGGCAGGACTCGCAGACTGTGGGAGGGAGGGGAGCAGGGGTTAGGTCGAGTAGATCTGACACCCACTCAGGCTCGTACAACACGTGGTGCTGAGGTCAGCTCACCTCACCTTCCCATTCTATCCCCAGCTCAGCCAAGGCCTCAGTGACAGGGAGAGCTGTAATCCCCGTCACCACATAGACTTGCCACTTGTTTCATCACATGCCTCTCCGCAATTGTTCTGCCCCAGCTCAAACCTGTCCATCCCAAACCTGCGTGCTCTAACAGAAAAACGTCTCTCTCTCTCCTCAGGCAAGCACCAATGGCGAATGCCGATTTACCACTGATGGCTCCACGTACAGTGAAACCCACTCACTGTCTGCAAAGTCAGAGCAGGGAGACTTGCTGATCACACACCAGAGGGGAAGGAAAACCAATGTCCCTGAAGAGAAATACCCTCATGCTATGTCCTTTATCCTGTTTTGGAGATAGGAGATGGCATTCCTAATCAAATGTGTCTTCTTCAGAGAGCGGGCACATTTGTTCCTGGCTTTTTCCTTTCCTGCTTCCTACCCCAAGACAACAAGCTGCCAGTTAGGGAAGCCTGAACTCTATACAAACAGAGGTACTACTGCTTTCTCACTAACAGTACACTTACACCAGAAATCCACTTGCTGGAAACTCTTGGTCATGATCAAATCCCGTTTCCCTTTCAGTTTCTTGGGCTCCACATCCATGGACTGTGGATCGGGCCTTCCAGAGCTGGGGAGAAAAACAACAGAAAGACAACTTTAACCTACTAAAACCCGGGAAACCAAACAGAGAAACAGAGAAAACGAGGCCATGGGGGCTGAACAACTCAGTCCTCATACCTGCAGCAGAGAAATGATTCAAATTGTAACCCAAGCTGCCAAAAGACAGTACTTGACATGCCTTATGGCTAAAGCCAACAGAAGTTTGTGGCTTCAGCTAGAACATCTTCATGCATAACATGCAGCTGGCCCACTCACCCATTAGATAATATGCAGAAGAGATTCACACCAGCAGAAAGGCTGCTTTGCTCTACTAAAGCCCCAGAACATGTTGGCCAAAGGCAAGGCATGGCTCTCCACACAAGCCAGCACCACAAGACTGGACATGAACTAGACCATGCAGCAGATATGTGCCTAGCACATGAGGGGGTGACCACTCCTGCCATACACCTCAAGGAAGATCTCACTAGTGAGAGTTTTAACAACTTTGTGAGGTTCAAGTATATCCCACGGGGAAGAAGAAAAAAGAGGGGAGAGTGCATCTGACTAAAACTCAGCTGCCTACCAAGGCTGTCCATACTCCTGGTCCTGGTGCGGAGAGCAGGCCTCTGTTTTTATTGTCACCATCTCTCCTAAGGAAGCCTGGGTCTGGTTCAAGCAGTCCTTCAAGTTTTCACTCATGTTCTGAAAAAAAGGAAGGAAGGGAGGAGAAAAGTGAGTGGCCAGGAAATTACAACCTTCCCCCTTCAGACGAGGATCCAACCAACAGGCCTCCCCACAGCAATAAGAACAGCCATGAGGACAATGCCGAGGCATCTTCACACACGCATAGGTGTGAACTCCTTCCTGCCGTGAGAAGGAAGCAGCAGTTCAGTTGCAGGTCAGGTGAAGAACGTGAAACACTGCAGAGGAACCTGAGGCACAGGGAATGCAAAGTATGCTCTATAGAAAATGTTACACATGGAATTTAAGACTTATGGATAGGTTGTGTTACTGAAATACTGAGCATGATTATTTCAGAGCAAGTCTCTGCAGCCAGACTGCCAAGAGGAGGAATACAAATGGCGGTGTGAACCAGGCTCTGTCTATAAATCTAACACATGTCAGTCCTCTTTTGAGAGCAGAGCAAGTTATCACATCTGAAGATGGAGCCTTCTGTGTGCTCTGGACATCTCTGACAGACAGGAAGCCTACCACAGGACCCCAAAGTGACGGCACAGGTCATGTTCTCAGCCTTCCCATCCCTTGCAATGAATAAAGCTGAGTGATCACCATTACCCTTGTAGAACACAGGCTGCTGTAGTGAAAATGCTTTTCCCTTAGCTCTCTGCAAGAGCCAGGAACCTCTTAATTATGTAAGGCAGAAAGCTTCAAACTGTTAACCTCCCACACTTCTTGCTACAGGGTGCTGCTGAAGAGAAAATATTGATGCAGAAAATGATAATAATTCAGAATTAGTTTAGCTAAGATTTTTTTGCAGGGCTAGTACAAAACAGAGCATCACATCTTGAGACAAGGAATAAGGCTGAGTGAGAGCTACTTGTCTCTTCATTCATTCATTCATCTTAAGATCTTCTCCAAAGCACATAAACTGGTGGTTCTGAGGCCTGATACCAAACTGAACAGCTTTGCAGCTGCTCCCCAGAAGTCCCTGTGACCCCCCTTTTCCCCTTTTGCTGCACGTGCACAGCACCCAAAGGAGAGGCTGCGGCAGCTGAGCTGCCAGCTCCTTTCAAGAAAGCCAGTGGAAGAGCCGATCTCCATTATGACTTCACTTCGGATACCTTTAAAAGTTGTGTTTATGGGTCACAAATCCTTGAAGACAGGAATTCTCTTATATGCTGCACACGCTTGTGGAGGACTGAGCACCGTGGAAATCGGTCTGCACTTGCACGCTGTTTACAAGAAGTAGCAAGTCTACTCCCAGCCTTTGCAGCCCTTCTTTGTACTAGGGGAATAAATGATTAATTTTTCCAGCTCAACTTCTCACATGCCAGCCTGCAGTTTGAAAGACTTTTATTGCATGTGTATCAAGGAAGCGCCAGTTAACATTCATACAGCACTCTGAAAGCAATGCCTCAAGGTAAGTGCAAGCAGATAGATGCAAACATGCACGCTTTCAAGAAGAGTCCATGTTACGTGACGTCCAACACAAGCTACATTTTCTTTTCAAATTACTATACACAGTCAGAAGAAAAGTAGTGGGGATGCCTCAGCATTTCAGCAAAGTGAGCCCCTCATCTGCATTCTCCAGAGCAAGAATAAAGCTTTTTGGTCCTGTCTCTACTGGAGCTACAGGCAGAGGCTACTGGCTTTCCTCTAGGAGAAGCAACAGCCTTCCTGAGACATCTGCAGAAAAGTAGCTCAGGAGGAAAAAAGCAGCAACTGTGTGTATGTGTGTGGGGTGCTGCTTAAAGAACAAGAAGAAATGGATCCTACCCCATAGCTGGTAGCTGTGGGGCCTGTGCTGGCACAGAAGAGGCAGACGCTGGCCGTGGTGCAGACAATCTGCAGAGCATACTGTCGGAATAAAAGCTTGGAGGACAGGGCATCTGGAACTTAAATGCCCACAAAGCCCAAGGCTCTTCAGTAGGAAGAGCTGCAGACATATGTCCCTGTGAACAGACAATGGCTTCCTCTTCCTCGAGGGATTCCTGCTTTATGAAGCAAGAGGCATGCCAGGGCTATGCAGGCTGACCTCCTGTGCAGCACAGGCTGGGGCACTTCCTGGAGTCAATTCCTGGTTCAATTACAGCATACCTCCAAGATGAGCAGGGAAGAAAAAAAAAAAAATTAAAAATCTAGTGTTGGTTTTATAAATGGAGGTTCCCATTCCACTGTACAGCATACTTCCCAGCCCTTCATTCTCATGGTCCTGCCTGAACTCACTCCAACTTATCAGCTACATTCCTGACAGCCATGTTCCTGCACAGGCTGAAGCAGTGCCTTTCACTGAGACACCACCCTCCCTGCTCAAGATTTACACTTTTGTGTCCAAATCCCACATTTACTTTCTGACCACCATCCTCAGCTGGAATTTTATATCTGGCAAAACACCTCACTGCTCTAAGAGTCCTTGATCCTGCAAAGCTGCCAGGCGACCACCCCTACTACCCACTTTCCTGGGTACCTAAGTGAACACAGGTTCACTTAGCCTGCTGTTTTCTTACCCAGTAAACGTAAGATCCCAAGCCTGTTGTTAGCTTGTTTGTTTTCATCATTTGTGATTCTCCCAGACTTTGTGTTGACCACAAAGATCATAAAAATTAACTTTATGTTTTTTTCCAGGACACTGATAAACCTGTTGATTACCACTGAGTCAAAAAAATGAATCCCAGCAGACACTGATAGAGATACATCTAGACAAACATGGTTCTCTTCCTGTTGCCACCCTGCAACCTTTCATTTGGTCAGGTTTTCACTCACCCAGTGTAACATGTTGGATCATCCTAGCTGCTTATTCCAACAACCTGTGGTACAATTTCCATGCACTAAAGACTTAAGGCATACCAACACGTTTACCTTTATTGAGCAAAACCACAGCAATGTCACCAAAAATCACACTATGTTTGAAAATACCTATTTTCCAAAAATCTGTACAGATAGGTCATTACAATTGATGTCCCCTTTAACCAAACCAAATCCCTACCATTATTATATTGTTTTACAGGTGCCTCACCCTAACAACAGGAAGCCTACATCAGATAGAAGGTAACCTAATATCCCAGTTTGGCCAGAGTAAACTTGTTATTAGCTTACTTATTTATGACTTCACTGCTAGCACAGAACATTTTTTTTCAGTCTAACTCATTATGAACATATTTTTTAAAATGTTTTTAGTATTTATGGCCCACGGAGAACTGCTCAGCCAGCATTTTAACATCCCTTAATTCAAGCTAGCCAAAACAGCTAACTTAAAAATGTTCTGCTTTAGTAGCTGTTGTTTAGTTATTTCCCAAGCTACTGTTACAACAGAGAGCACTGCACTGCTGCCGTAACTGGCTGAGTTAATTGGATGATAATACTAGCCCTCGAGGGAAGAAATATTCCCCACTTCTCCAGATCCAGGTGCCTGTAGATGACCCTGCACTTAGGACTCTTCTAGTTTCGGATGCATATAAAGCTGTTGTTAATTTCTCTTAATTTTACTGCCCACTGTTTCTTCATGCTTGCCATTTTCCACAACTTCAAGATTCTAAGTCACACTCCACACATTTCACATTCTTCCTCCACTTCATTATTTGAGCAGCTTTTTTAGCTCTCTGAGTTTTTATACCTAAAGATGAAGATCCTCCGGAGACTTCAGATAACAGAGAAGCAGCATGTAAGAATAAGTAGGCCTGGCTGCTTTAGTTAGCTGCTGAAGGCATTCCCAGGACACACATATCTCTGCGGCCACCAAGACACTCAGTCCTCCTGATGCCAGCATGCACACAGCCTATTGCAATCTCCCAGCAGCACGTTAGGGAGGTCAGTCCCTAGCTCAGAGGGATGCTGTGAAGATCCAGGTACTCTTTGCACACAACATCAGCTCCTCTGGACAAGAAAGGCAGTCATGGTTGGAGGCACAACATCCCTTGGGAGACCCAGGACACCAACACGGCTGCTGCAAATCCCAACAGGCACAGACAGTGCCACACAGTCTCTTCCATTCTCATTACAAAGTAGGCAAGAACCTGTAACGTTATTACACAACACACCTAAAGATCTCCTGTGGCATTATCATCTCCCCAGCAATAAAGGAAACAGAAAACACCAGCATATCTGAGATGTTAAATGAGAGAAAAAAAAGATCCAAATGGGTTCTGGCATGAACAAACCTGTGAATTCCTGTCCTCAAGAATGCCGCCTTTATCACTGCCCCTCTTTCAGTTATTAGTTAACAGCCACAGACTCTTATCTGCCTGGATCAGGCTCCAAAACAGAGCTTTAATTTTACATTTTACTGGCACGTTTCCCAGATTTGGACATTCTTGCATGTGAAATAGCCATATAGGAATCCATCCCCTCCTCACTACTCAGCTCATTCCTTCTATTTCTTACTGCTGGCCTTCTAGAGGTCACTGCCTCTTCTTTTAAGATCTTGCACAGCTTGTATAGTATTTTAAAGCGCAGGCCCATGCATTAAGATGGACTTTAATTCGTACTCTTTTTCTCCAGTTGCATATTATTACCAGAAATAGTAATCCAAAACATTCAGCTACTGACGAGCGAAGGCGGGGAATGAAGCACTGCATTCAGGGCTCTGAGCTGCCCCCAACAGCTACCAACAACCTGGGGAGACTGTTTTCCTCAAGATGTACACACTTAGCAAGGTCCTTGGCCAACCATTACAGGCCACTTAACAAAGCATCAGCTGGCCACACAGCCCGCAGCACAACCAACACCTCAAGAGACCCCACTGAGTGAGAAGCGAACTGTTCTGAGGAAGACCCTCCACAGGGAGCCTGACCCCACACTACCATGCCTTGGCTTAACGTCCCTGTGCCAAAGGACGATGCTCCTATGGGTCAAGCTGCCCTGTGGCATGGCAGAGCAGTGCCCCAGCATATCCTAGCGTAGTAACACACTGGTGGCCTGCTCCCTGCCTGCTGCAAGGCCAGCTGGTGAGCACTGGGCTCTTCCCTAACGGCTGCAAAGCGGGGCTGAAAGCAACCTTGTATGGTGGGATGCAAGCTGGGGCA